GTGTAGGGACTTGATTCTGTGAGTGATGGGGAACTGTGGGGGAGGTTTGAGAAGGAACATGATGGAGCTGAGTTGGCATCTGAAGATGCATCTGGGTTTGTGTGTTCTGGGCCTGTCACCCTACATCACACGAACCCGGACAGTCACCCTCCTGGACAGCACTGTCCTGAGGGCGGGGACCATGTCAGTCCCTTCTCTACCCCCCACCACCAGCATGCACAGAGCTGGGCGCTCTGTGGGCCAATGAGGGAAGCAGAGAGATTCCAGCAACAGGATGAGATCTCCAGGATCCCCACGGGCGCCTGCTCCTGACTACCTTGGAAGAGACTTGTAAAGTGCTGAACCTCAGCTTCCTCTTCTGCAAAAGGGACTCAGGTGACCAACGACCGGCCTCCGGGCTCTGACTGAGTAGCAGATGAGAACTTATAGAGAGAAGGTACTTTATAACCTGGGGCCTTCGGAAAAGTCTCCACTGGGTGCCGGCTGGGGTCAGGTGCCCTGGGTCCTAGGCCTTCTTCTGCTCAACACGCCTTTAATGGGCACCTTCTGTGTACCATGCACTGTTCTAGTTCTTAAGGGAAACAGCTTTGAAAAATACAGATGGAATCCCTGCCAGTCATCCACAGGTGATAAAGAAAAGAAAGAGTACTAGAGGCCATGTGTGGACGGTGCAACAGAGAATAACAGGGAGGTGGGGCCTGTGGTTGGCCAAAGAAAGGCCCCTCCAAAGATGCCCACAGCCTGACACCTGGAACCTGCAGATGTTACTTTATGTGGCAAAGAGGGATGAAATTAAGGATGCTGATCGGTTCACCCTGAGGTGGGGATGATCCTGGATTCCCCTGGGGCCCAGTGTCATCACGGTGTCCTTATAAGAGGGAGATGGGAGGGTCAGAGGCAGAGAGAAATGGGAGGTACTGGGCTGCTGACTGTGAGGATGGAGGGAGGGGCCGTGAGCCAGGGATGAGGCACCTCTAGAAACTAGAAAAGGCAGGAACTGGTGCTTCCCAGGAGCCTCCGGAGGGACCAGCCCTGCCCACGCCTGGGTTTAGCTGTGTGAGGCCTGAGCTGGACTCCTGATCTGCAGGATTGTGAGAGAATCAATGTGTGTGGTTTGAGCACTAGGTTTGTGGCAATCTGTGGCAGCACCCCTGGGAGCCCTACGCAGGGTCTTTGCAGATTTGAAGAGGAGGTGGGCGGAGGCCTCTGCGGAGCTGTGTGCCCGCTCTGGGGGCTGGAAGGGGGAGGGGGCCTTGCTCCCCGCAGTATCTGCCATCAGTATCAGCAGCAGTGCAGGGGAGGAGCCCAAAATCTGTTTGTCCCGGGCAACAGAGAGAGACCCTCCTCTCCAGAGCCCCTAGCAGGCCTTAACCCAAATTTACCATGAAGTTCTTAACCCAGGCGGTGGGGTGGTGGCTGGGGTTGCCAGAGCCCCTCTTCAGGATCAGAGGCAGCCCAGCTCCTCCCCGCCCCACCCCATGGAGAGAGCTTTGCCCTCACAGACACATGGGACAAGTCCCGTCCCCTCCCAGGCTGGGGGATGCTGAACACTGCTTTGGGTGAGACTGAGCCAAGCCCCCTGAAGGAAGCAGCTAAACCCATAGGAGGACAGGGAGGGGGGCGAATAGATGCTGCTGGCAGCGGGCCCCTCTGGCCCCTCCCCCTCCCCCAACACAACTGGGGCCAGAGGGACCCAGGGCAGTGTTGTTTGGTGGGCCCTCAAAGTGCTCCCTGATCAGGCTTCCAGGTGGACTTGGGAGGTGGGGCCCAGCCCCAAGCAGCACCCAGCCCTCTGAGGCCCGTTTTTGGGGACATACTGCTGACCCCTTCAGGACTGGTGTATCCTTCGTCCTAGATCTGGCCCTTCCGGGACTTTCATCCACGACAATTCATTAAGCCCTAATTAGTCTCTGTCAGCCATTAGTCCCTTTTACCCTTCAGGGGACTGGGGGGCCTCCCGACCCACTTTCCTTGACCGCCTTTGGCAGGTGAGGCCTCTAGAACCACATTTTGAATGTCTACCGTCTACCACAGCCACTCAGCCGCTAGCCTAGCCCAGCCCCAAAGGTGGGATCAGTGAAGCCCACTTGGAGAACATGAGACTGAGGGTCAGAGTGGTCCCCGGTTCACCTGGCAGCAATCAGCTTGAGAGTCAACATTTGAACCCTCGTCCAATGCTAGCTCCCTTTCACTGAATCCCAGAGCCCTATGGGAAGGTCCTCTTCAGAGGGCCAGGATTGACACATGGTGGTGGGCAGCTCGCCCCGGGCCCACCTGGAATGAGCTTTGCTTGGAAAGTTCTCGGAGAGGCTCTCTACCTGGTGAGTAGGTGATGACTCAGGGGCACCCGAGAATGACAGCCTTGTGGGAAGAGAAATCAAGCTGACGCCTGAGATCTACTTTATATTCCCACTCAGCAAGGTACCTTCAGATCCCAGGCGTCCTGTGGGGGTGGCTCCCAGCCACCCCCATTCTACAGATGAGCACGCTGAGGCCAAGCTGCTGTGTTAACAGTGGGGATGATCATGGCTGCCCTGCCATCACACGATATCTAGCTCATGGCAGCCCCATGCTGGGGGCGCAATGCACCTGCATATCTTACACCCTGCTCCGATGTCCATCTCAGAACTGGAGCTCACAGAAGGGCTGTCCTTTGTCAGAAGTCACCAGTGAGGATGGGGAACAGAGAGGCAGGCTGAGGAAGTCTGGCTTTAGCCTTTCCAAGCCCTCATCCCATGGTGGACAGCCCCTTCCCACCACTCCATACCATCCCGGTAGAAGGAGGAGGAGTCGCACCTGTAGAGGAAGCCGACGGGGTCTTCCAACTCAGATCCTGTCTCAGATGCCTGCCACTCTGGCTCAGAGGGGGAATGGAGCAAAGCAGGACCCTCACAGCCCAACGGCTCCTGACCTGTCCCTGCCTGCCCGCACCTTGTTTCCACCAGCCTCACCCACAGAGACCCCATGCCCTCTGCCTCTGGGTACTCACACATCACAGCCTTCCCAGCCTCCACACCTCCTCCAGGGAGCCCTCCTGTGTTGCTCCAGGTTTTAGAGCCCTACTCTCCCTGAAAGTTCTCCCCACCCCCCAACAAACCCCAGATGGTCCCTCTGTCTGCTGCCATGCTGCCGCAGACACCCCCTCCCCACACCCCCGCCAGAAGCAAGAAGTTCTCAACCATCTCTGTACAAACGTGGATTCATCGGGGACTGCCTGTTAACAATGCAGGCTCCTGGGCACGAACCCCAGAAGTCCTGATTCCTCAGAACTGGGGGGCTGGGGTGCCTGTACTGTTAGAGCCTGGGGCACAAGGTTTGGAAAATAAGGACCAGGTCTTTTCCTGCACTGGGATCAAGCACAAGGTGCTGCCCTCCCCAACTTGTTGAATGGGGCTTAGTGGCCTCACCGGCCAGGCCCTGGGGGGCACCTATGCCAAGCTTCAGGGGACGGAGAGAAGCCCCCACCCCACCCTTGCTGCTGACTGGACACAGGCCCGCGGGGCAGGGGGCCTGGCCCTGTGCTCCCAAATCTTCCCACCTGGCTGGACTGTCCCCAACCCAGCGATGCAGCAGGTCCTGGTGTCAACGCCTTTTGCGCCTTCCGGACGCAGCCCCCCAGGCTGGACCAGACCTCGCCGGAAGGGAGGGCGAAAAGGCTCCGGACCGACTGTCTCCGATTCCCAGACCCAGCCAGTGCCCCATCCTAACCCCCTTTGGAGGGGAGCGCTTGCCTCCAGGCGTCCTCACTGCCTCCAGAGAGGCGACCACCCGGCTCCTTGCTCCTCGGCGTCCCGGGGAGGGACAGGGGGACCTCAGCATGGCGAGTGGCCCCCCAAAGTTTCCAGGGGGAGCGCTGGGGGCCTGACGAGGAGCAATGCACCCGGGAGGGGCGCTCAGGGAGAGTGGCCCCCCAGGCGAGGATCGGGGGCGCGGGTGGGGGCTACGGCGCGCAGGTGGTGCGGGGTCACCGGACCCGGCGCGGACACTCACCTGGGCGGCTCCGCCGTGGACACGGCGCGGGCTGCGGCGCGGGGGTCGCGCGGCCCGCCGTCTGGGGTGCGCGGCGCCCCAACCGCAGGTGTGCTGGGCTGCAGGAAGCGAGGACACGTGCGCGCAGGTGCCGGGATGCGCGCCAGGGCCGCGGGCGGGGGCAGGGCGTCCAGGCCCTGGGAGTGTGTGCTGCCCCGCGCACACCCGCCCGCGGTGGCGCGAGCGAGGACCCCTGTGACCGGGGCCTTTGTGGACCTGCAGAGGCTGCGGTGCGGGAAACGCCGGGCTCCTCATCTGCGCTTGTCTGGCCTCTACCCCTCCTTTCTGCCCGAGCTCCAGGTCTCCAGCACCTGACATCTGGACCCCTGCCCCAGCCTCTTCCGCTCCTGCCAGCCCTCCAGGCCCATTCCCCACGCGGGTCGCAGAGGCTGCTTAACCACTGGCCTCTGGAATTGACTATGTCTCTCTATTGAACCTGGATTCATGTCTAAACCCGGTGTATGTTTCTGGATCTTCTGTGTTCTTGCCTTCCTTCCGTCGCCTAACGCGTGCCTCACTCCTTCGCCAGAAGGTTCCCTTGCTCCTCTTTGAACACGCCAAGAGGGCCCTGCCGGGGTCAGGGCCTTTCCCCTTACTGTTCCTTCTGCCTTTCCCTTCATCCTTCTTGGCCAGTGTGTAATTACTCGTGTTTATGCAGCAGCCTGCTCAATGGATGTTAGTGGAAAGAATGACTCTTACTTTTACATACTGTGATGTATGTAGTTTCCTGATCCCCTAGTACTGGGCCTGCCGGCCATAGGCCCCGTTTAGGGAGCTCATGCTGTGGAGCCTGGGGTGGGAGGTAGATGGTACTCCAGTGTGGGGGGCACCTCCCAAACCCCCAACCATCATGTTAAGACATGATTAGTAGCAAGATTACCGAATGCTCACTATATGCTGGGCTCTTTTTTAATGTTTATTTTGTGTTTATTTGGCTGCACTGGGTCTTAGTTGCAGCACGTGGGATCTAGTTCCCTGACCAGGAATCGAACCAGGGCCTCCAGCATTAGGAGTGTGGAGTGTTAGCCACTGGACCACCAGGGAAGTCCCTGGGCTCTTGTTCTTAACATGAGCCCTCTGGTGCTTGCTGCAGCCCCACCCATTACAGGTAGAGGCTAATTATCCCCATTTCACAAATCAGCAAGTTGAGGCTCAAAGATGCCATCTTTCCCAAGCGAGGGGCTCACGGTGGACCTGGCTACTCCAGGAGGCTAGGTGTGTAACCTTGCATGATCCCACCCCAGCCCTTCCCACCCGCTGCGCCCTCCTAGCTGCTCCCATGGTGGCTTGGCGTCAACTCAGCCACCTGTGACTCAAGCAGGCTCCATTCCCAGACTGTCGCGTTGGCCCAAGGCCCAGAAACTGCATCCCAGGAGGCTGCAGGCCAGGTGCCCAAGGGACAAGAGGACGGATCCCTTCCCGGCCTGCAGACGTCCAAGAGGAGGACATGGGGTCCCCTCCCTGGTGGTTCTCCATGCCCACGGGCAGCCCAGCCCCCACACAGAGGAATCACTGCTGTAGAGGCTGTGTGATCTCGGGGCAGTCACTTTCCCTCTCTGAGCTTCTATCTCCTGTGAAATGAGGTTCTGGTAAGTGCCGACCAGGGCTCTTAGAGGAAAGTGCTTATTGAGCACCTACTGTGTACCAGGTCAAGCACCAGAGGGAGGAGATGCAGCAGGGGGCTCGCCATGGCCCTGGGGGAGCAGACCAGTGAGACAGTCACGAAGGGTATGATAGGAAACTCAGCAGAGAGCCGGTACCCAATCTAGGGTGGGAGTCAGTGATGCTCTTCCAAGGAACGGGCTCTTGAGATGAGTCCTGCAGGGGGCAGGGGTAACTGATGTGGTGGCCAGAATTGGAACCCACTTCCTGGCTGTGGAACTGTGGGAGACTCCCCTCCAGCCTCAGTTTCCACATCTGTAAAATGGGGACTCAAACTGTATACCCATCTTCTAGAATTGCAAGAACTCCACTCAGTGACAGAGGGGCAAAGCAGGGCTCTCAGTGGCCCTGCCCAGCTCTCATTCATTGTTCCAGAAGCCTGGCTGAAGGGCAGGATGAGGCCTCGGACACTGCCGGCCTCAGGACATTTGCATGGCTCTTCCCTCCACTGCAGCACCTTTCTCCCAGCCACCAGCCTGGCTCACCCCTTCCTGACTCATGTCTCCACCCCTTGCCTCCTCTGTCCCATCCCTGCCTCCTCAGCACTCTCCCCACTTAAGACACCATGTAATTTACTGATTTATCCTGTTGATCATGGGCTCTTCCTTCTTTCCTGCTGTGGAACAGCTCCAGTAGACACAGAGTAGGTGTCCAGTAAATGCTGGCTGAATGAACAAATGGTTCAGCGATGCTGAGGGCTGTAGGTTTTGCCCCTGGAAGTGGGGGTTCTGGGGAGTCTGAGTGGGGAAGTGACTGTTGCTGCCTGAAACCACTGTCTTATCATCTCTCCATTCTTGGTCAGTGTCAACCTGCTCTGTATATTGAGAGGGAGCCCAGGAGCATGTAGTAGGCCCTCAGTAACCAGCTAGAATGTGCACATTGGCATTGCTGTTCTATTGCATTTAGCAGGGACATGGAGGTGGGCTCAGTCACTGAATGGCCTCCCTGGGCCCAGCATCCCCAGTGGGATGCTGCCTTGAGGGCTGAGGTGGGTGTGGGAAGGGGGTGTAGCTAGGGGTTCCAGCCTCCCAGGTGGTGGGGTGGCAGTACCTGGTTGCCAAGGTTACGAACACCTGCAATGGGGATGTTGCCATGGAGACAGACCCCTGGGAGGAAAGGCTGGCTCCAGATGGGGGGCTGTAGGTTGGGCAGGGGGCCTGGAGGTGGCTGCCAGCCCCAGGGGCTTCCCTGGTACCCCGTGTCTGGCCCCCCCCTCCTCTGGCTGTGGGTACAGCAGGGCCCTGACTCTCCCCATCCTGTGTCCTTGTACCTGGAAAAGCCAGCAGGGGCACTTAGGCAGCAGTAATGATTTCTAAAATTAAAGGCCTTCTCTTCTCTCCTTTCTCTGGTGAGATGTGTAGGACTGGCGGTCGGGGCCAGGGGAAGCAGCGGTCACATGGCCTGGGAACCTCAGCTGTGTCCTCTGACAAGTGGCTTTCCCGTGGTAATAGGAGGGGAATCCTGAGTTTCTGGGAGACGAGAGTGTAGTGGGATTGAGGCCTTGGACTGCAGACCCCATGGGCTACCCCATGCTGGGTGACCTTGACTGATGACCTAACCTCTCTGAGCCCCAGTAGCCTCATCTGTAATGTGGGAATCATAACAACCTGTCCCTCTAGGAGGTTGACACGGGCCTGTGCTGTTTACAGGTCTGCTGGATCCATGATAAACAGTGGTGTTATTTACTGAGTCAACATTTCCTCGGGCTGTTCTGGTCCCCAAACACAGCTCCTACTGAACAAAGGGGCCCAAAGCTAGCAGGACAAGCTCTGAGGGTTGCAGAGGGTGGCAACGGCCCGACAGCAGAGAGCCCAGTGAAGGCATAGGCTGGAGGGCTTCCCAGACATGGCACTGGGGCTCCTGCAGCTTTTCTGTGTGGCCATGCAGGGGCCTCAAACTGACACTAACTCCTGTCTAAGGTGGGCCCTCAATGGCAGCCCCCAAGTCCCAAGTAAGTGTAGGTCCCTGATACGGTTATGATAAACAGTCCCCTCAGGGCCTCTTTGCATGTGCCCCATGGAGCTTACCAAAACTCAGCTCTTTTTTGGTTGAATTGACCTATCTGACTGCAGCCAAGGGAACCCACAGCAGGCACCATCATGATCTAGTTGCAGGGTCCTGGGGCCTGAATCACTTGCAAGGGTTTTCAGCAAGTAAATCTTGCAGTAGTAAGCAGTTTCAGATTGTGCAAATAGGGCTCATCTTAGTTCCCCCTTTCTTCTTTTTAAAAAAAAAATATTTATTTGGCTGTGCTGGGTCTTAGTTGTGGCATGTGGGATCTCCAATCTTATTGCAGCATGCAGGATATTTAGTTGCAGCATGCAAACTCTTAGTTGCATGTGGGATCTAGTTCCTTGACCAGGGATAGAACCCAGGTCCCCTGCATTGGGAGCATGGAGTCTTAGCCCCTGGACCACCAGGGAACTTCTTTAGTTCTTCCTTTCTGACACTTATCATTAATTTCATTTTCCTGTCCTTTCATACTGTTCAGGCTCTCAAGTACAATGTCCAAGATGACACTGGACATCCTTTCCTTGCTCCTGGTCTTAGGGGGAAAGCTGTCAGTTTTTCACCATTTATGGTGATGTCAGCTGTCAGTTTTTCACAGATGACCTTTATCAAGTTGAGGAAATTCCCTCTTTCTATTTGACAAGATTTCAACCTGAACTGAGTGTTGAATTTTGTCAGATGCTTCTTTTGCAGGTATGAAAAAAATGGTCATAGGGTTTTTCTCCTTTCTTGTGTCAATGAGGTGAATCCCATTCACAGATTTTCCAGTGTTAAACCAACCTTGCATTCCTGGCGTTGGCCATACTCTGTGGTCATGACGTACAATCCTTGGGATCCAATCTACTGATGTTTTGTGAAAGATTCTTGCACCTGTATTTTTTTAATTATTTATTTTTAATAGGATAATTGCTTTACAATATTGCATTGATTTCTGCCATACCTCGACATGAATCAGTCACAGGTACACATATGTTGCCTCCCTCTGGAACCTTACTCCCACATCCCATCCCTTCCCACCCCTCTGGGTTGTTACAGAGCCCTGGTTTGGGTTCCCTGAGTCATATAGCAAATTCCCATTGGCTATCTGTTTTGCATATGGTAGTGCATGTATTTCCATGCTGCTCTCTCCCTTCGTCCCCTCCTCTCCTTCCTCCCACCCTGCTGTGTCCACAGGTCTTTTCTCTATGTCTGCGCCTCCCTTTTGTGTGAAGTCATTTCAGCCATGTCTGACTCTTTGGGACCCCGTGGGTTGTAGCCCGTTAGGCAACTCTGTCCACAGGATTCTCCAGGTAAGAATACTGGAGTGGGCTCCCTTGACCTCCTCCAGGAGATCTTCCTGGCCCAGGGATTGAACCTACGTCTCCTGCATTGGCAGGCAGGTTTCTTAGCACTCGCACCATCTGGAAAGCCCCTGGGTCTCCATTGCTGCCCTGCAAATAGTTCCATCAGTATCATCTTTCTAGATTTCATACGTATCGCATCTGTATTCATGAGGGATATTGGTTTGTAGTTTTCTTTTTCTGCAATGTGTTTTGACAGATTTTGCTTATGCTGCCCTCATGTAGCAGGTAGGGAGTGTTCCTTCTTCCCCACGTTTTTGAAGCTGGATTAGTGTCATTTGTTCCTTAAAAGCTTTGGGATCAATTCTGAAGTAGAGTTGTCAGTACTTATCAAGGGTGACCCCAGGGTTTTTTGGACCTGGACAATTCAAGGAGTTGTGGGGATGAATCTTGGGGTGGGGATAGCTGTGGAGGCAGCCGGAGGAAGGGGGAGCGTCAGCCTGGGGCACGTTAATTTGGGGTTCCTCTAAGACATGCCGTAGATGTGGATGTGTACTTTGGGGGCGATGGGGGCCAGGAAAGGGAACTCAGAATTTCTCAGCAACAAGGTGGAATCCAAAAGCATATCTGCCCTGGTTTCAGGCTCCTGGTCAGCCTCCCCCTAACCCTTATTTCCCTGCCCCTCTCCCCCCCTCCCTCCCCACAGCCACATCTGCAAACCAGGAATGTTGTTTTCTGACTGGGCTCTTCATTCCTAGGTAAGCCCTGACCCCTGCTGGCTAGGGTCAGCATGGCTGGGCACAGGGTGGGTGGGTGCTGGTTGGGGTGGGGAGTCAGGGGGCCGACCTGGGCTCTGAACATAAGCAGGAAGCGTGAGAAGACATGTGCTCATCTGCAGAGGACATTTATTGAGCATCAGAGCCCACCCCCGCGAAGCTCCCATTCTGATGAGGGGGTGGCAGGGGGACCTATTTCTGTGGCTAGTGGAGGCTCCAGGTGGGATTGGAGCTGCAGGGGGAAGTGGGGAGCAGGAGGGCCGGATCCCCGGGGCAGGGGCATCGTCAGTCTCACCTGGGCCAGCCTGAGCTCAAA